GCTGCATGAAAACCAGAATGAAAAATTGGGTTGGAAAACAAGGCTGCGAGTTGCTATTGATGTTGCTAATGGTCTCCAATACATTCATGAGCACACAAGGCCAAAGGTTGTGCACAAAGACGTCAAGAGCAGCAATATTCTTTTAGACTCAAACATGAGAGCCAAAATAGCCAATTTTGGTCTAGCAAAGACTGGTTGCAATGCCATAACAATGCACATTGTTGGAACTCAAGGCTACATTGCACCGGAGTATCTAGCTGATGGGGTGGTGTCAACAAAAATGGATGTGTTCTCTTTCGGGGTGGTTTTGCTCGAGCTTGTTTCGGGGAAGCCGGCCATTGATGAAGATGGAAATGTTTTGTGGGCAGGCGCTGGTAGGATTTTGGAGGGGAATGAGGAAGAGAAGGCAAGGAAATTGCATGAGTGGGTGGACAGGGAACTTTTCTTGGAGTCCTGCTCAATGGAAAGCGTAGTGAATGTTGTGACTGTTGCCATTGCTTGTGTGCATAGAGATCCTTCAAAAAGGCCAAGTATGGTGGACATTGTTTATGCCTTGTGCAAGAGTGATGATTTGTTTTTTGACATCTCCGATGATGGATCATCGGCTCCCCCAGTACGAGCGAGGTGAATCCTAATGAACTAAGCGATTCCTTCTCTTTGGTTTTTTTTTTCCTTTCTCGTTTAAAGAAAGAAAGAGTCGAATTCTCATCATGAATACGAGTGTGTAGTATCGTCTATATAGTTTCGCACCTATTTGAATTTGCTAGTAAAGACAATGTACAAGAAAATAAAAAACCATGAGCAGTAAAAGTTTGAGTCACATTATGTACCTATAAATAAAATAAATCTGTTTCTACTTGTAACATTTTCGTCATGGTGACATATGTAGCTGGTGAAACAGGATACGGAGTTTTACTTTATAGCAGCAAAGAATATGTCAGAGTAGCGACCAAATCCAACAACTGACGGAAGCCTATGAACCAAGTGGGGCAAAGAAAGTGAAAAGGACAGGACCCAGCTCTAGCCTCCCAGCTTCTTAAAACCCGACTGTTAACTTGATTTGAGTTCTATCAGCGAAGAAATAAAAGGGTTGGGGGAACCTAATAGCTGGGAAAGATAAGCATTAGGTGCCAAAATTCTAATTTAAGGCCCATTGAATTACCAAGAACACAGCAAGAGTTTAGGAAGTAAGAACTCTTTGGTCTGTTACCCAAAAACAGAACTCGTTGGTCCAGTATATCACGTCACTTGTCCGGCACACACAAACAAAAAGATTTATGTATTGAGATTAGACAAGTGTGAGATCCAATGTGTGACTAGACATCCGCTGGACCAGACAATTGTGCTAGCTAGTATAGGAGGTCACTCTCCAACCACATCAACTTTGCAAAATTACAAATCTAGCATTCAATCATGTTCAAAAAGCTGAAACCCCAATTGGCACTTTGTTTATGTTTAATACAAGATAAGGCATGGTGCTAGAAACTCCTAGTGAGTGGGTTGTCACAGTGGTCCTTGTTCTTCATTGAGTGTGAGAACTTGTTTGTTCCATTTTAGTCTGTTTTAGCTAGCTGCTAAAACATCCTTATTAGGAGACTATTACAATGACCTTTGTTGCAACTTTTCAAATGAGATTCTAAAATAATAGGATTCTTTACATTTGGATTAGGCTTATTTTTACCAATGCTCCTTGAAACTACGGTTAAATCTCACATTGCCCCTCCAAATTTAAAGTGGCCCGCTTACCTGCTTGGCCGTGGTTTAGTGACTCACTTTGCTCCTTGCCATCAACTCCATCCAAAAATTTGTTAAATATGATGACATGGCAATGGTATTTTTGTAATCTCATACACATGGATTATTATCCACCAATTAAAAGGGTGACGTGGCAAATAGAGTAGAGCCCACCTCCACATAGATAAGAATATAATTAAATATTATAATGATTAAAACTAATTATAAAATTAAAATTAAAAAATAAAAAAAATTAGACCCCAGCCGCCCCAATCCTCAACCTTCATCCACACACACCCTTCTCCTCTCCTCCAAATACCGTTGGGAGAACATAAACCCATCTCAACCCCATCTCAGCCTCCCCAGCCACCGTCCATCCTCCTCCCTTGACTAGCCACAACAACAGCCACCCCCAGCCAATCTCAAGAACCCATCCCCATCCTCAACCCTAGCTCAGCCCACCACCACCCCTTCCTCCACATCCACCGAACAGACCCCAAACCACATATGATTAATTAAAATAAGATAACTGAGAGATTACATGATTAATTAACTCATAGTCCACAACCCCTCCCCAAACATTTTGTTGCATCAATGCTTTTTATCTTAAGGTGGACTTGGGTGAACTTTTTCCACGGAAAATAGACATTTCGTAGTCTCTTTGTGGTCAGGTATTTTGAAGGAGGAGTGCAATCAATCTCAGCTCCCTTGTGGCCATTATAATTTAACCGATTGCCAAACATTTGATGTTGGTTGTTCGGAGGTGGAATGTTGGAAAAGGGAAAATTTCGAGTCTGTTTGGTAGATGTTGAGGGATGGGTTGGGGTTTAGGATGGGGATGTGTTCGTGAGATGAGGTAAGGGTGTCTGTTGTTGAGGCTGGTCAAGGGAGGAGGAGGGACGGTGGTTGGGGACGCTGAGATGGGTTTGTTTCTTCCAAGAGTATTTATTATTATTATTTTTGGACGAAATTCTTCCAAGAGTATTTACAGGAGAGGAGAATGGTGTGTGTGGACGGAGGTTGAGGATTGGGGTGGTTGGGGTCTAAATTATTTTTTAATGTTTTATTTTAATTTTTAAATTAATTTTAATCATCAGAATATTTAATTATATTCTTATCTATGTGGAGGTGGGCTCTACTTGCCACGTCACCCCCTTAATTGGTGGATACTAATCCATGTGTATGAGATTAAAAAAATGTCCTTGTCACGTCATCATAGTTAACGGTAAGGGGCAAAATGGGTCACCAAACAACGGTCAAGTGAGCTAAATAGACCACTTTAAGTTTTTAGGGGAGGGAGGGAGGGGGGCAATGTGAGATTTAACTGTAATTTCAATGGGTATTTGTGTAAATAAGCCTTTGGATTAAACCCTTATTTGAAGCTTAAATCAACATAAAATTTTGACCTTAAGCATATATAAGACTTTTAACTTAGTTTGATATCCTCTATGGGTGTGGAAATTTTTTATTTGAGGAGTCCTAATTGATTATTTTGTTGTACCATCAACTAACCAAGAATTTTTTATTTTATACAAACGACATTATATTTTAATTTAATCTAAACTACACGAAGAGAAAATTGGAACTCGGATGTATAATGAGAGAGCATATCCGTTCTAGCCAATTTGACTAAACTCTTAGGTCTTTTTTTAATTTAAAATGAATAGCTCATGTAGGCTTGACCATACGTTTGACTTGGAATTAATGATTATCAACACTAAAGCATAATTTAGTCGTGCATGTCAAATCAAAGCTTTTCTTATTATGAATGGTCTTTTAAAATTATTTTGTTACTTTATGTTAGTGATTTCCCTCGTGCTTCGTGCTTCGTGCTTCAACAATTCACCTCCTCCACTCACTTGAGTTGCCATTATCTGCGTGCCCTTTTCATGTATCATTTTCGTGATGTCAATCAAGTAGTGGAATGATAAAAACCATAAAGAGAGACAAGTGACAAGTTGAAAACAGAAACCATGTGACTGATTCGTCAATTCAATGTACCATCGGGTGGAGATTCAATCGTATATTAGAGAAAGTTTCAAAGATTCATAATATTAGTACACCCCAAAAAACGAGAAGGGATTTCTAATGTTCATAAAATAAGCTACGTTGTATCTTAAATTAGACTTGTGTGAAATTGCAGATTGGTCATAAGTTTTAGGGTAAATTACTCAAATGGTCCCTAAACTTGTACGCGATTTACATTTTGAGGCCTGAATTAAATTTTTCGTTCAAATGGTCCATCAACTCTACATTAATGACTCAAATGGTCCCACCGTCTAATTTTCTGTTAGATTTAACCAAATTTTAGGGTAAATAATGACTAATTTGCCCTCATATTTAACGGAAATATTGACAGAATGTAACGGTGGCACCATTGGAGTAATTAATATAGAGTTGATGGACCATTTGAACGAAAAATTTAATTCAGGCCCCAAAATGTAAATCGCGTACAAGTTTAGGGACCATTTGAGTAATTAACCCTAAGTTTTATATAAGATATATATATATATATTATATATATATAAGTTCAATGATAATAATCTTATCCATCTCAAACCACTTAAGGGGCAAGGGTGAAGTAGATCAGTTAATTAGGGTAGTGAGTTCGCCTTCTTGCACTCAAATTCGAGTTACTCTCTCTAACTTCAATTGTATTAAAAAACCACTTAAGACTTATGAGCATCCAAATTTCCAAGCAATAAAATGTCCAACAAAACTCCATATATAAAATTTGTTGAAGTTTTCTTATTCAATCATATATTCTATGAAATCTTTGTGTGAAAAATAAAATCACATCATTGTTCATATATGGATTGCCATGTCAAATAAATAAATTTTTTCTTCTTCTCATAAAATAGAAAATATCATGCCATTATTATTGGCAATCACAAAAGCCGTGGCCTTCCGTTATGTTAGACCCTCCCCTAGAAGTACAATGGTTGGCCCCTCCGGAACCGGTAATCGCCGTTTGACTTGAAAGGAGCCTTGTTCCAATCCTCAAACAACAAACATATCATGACATTATCTTTACAAAACAAAAACAAAAATAAAAAAATTTCTCTTTTTGCTGTTCTTGTTTGACTGAGACTTGGATAAACAACAAACATATCATGGCATTAAAAAAAAAAAAACTTCCAAAGGTGCGTGGTGGTCATTACTTAAACTTGAAGCACAGTGGGTTTCCAAAGGGCTGACAAGGACTGTAAGTTTGCGAGGACTTTGAGAGGGACCAGGTGGTTCATGTTGGAGCCTCGTGTAGATTACCAAAAGCCTGTTAATATTGAAAAAGACAGCTCAGACTTTAATGAATCTCGCTTTTCTCTCACTTTTCTCACTCTTCTTTGTGTTGCTGCTGCCTTTGTGTTCTGTCTTCTCGTCGGCCCCAGTTTCTCTCTTCCGAACCTCAAACTCAAACATCTCTGACACTAAACACAGAAATGGTTGTGAGTCAGTTGCAGAGCTTGCAGCTATGCGTTTTGCCTCGTCGGGTTCCTCCTTCACCCAACCGTTTTTCTTCCTCAAAGAGGTATTTGTTCTTCATCTTTTCAATTACCAAAGTGGCAGTTCTTCTTGATGCCATTTTGGCTTTCTTTGTGTGTTTCTGTGACAGTGTGTTTGTGGTATTTGATTATACGGCATTGGCATTCATATGAGAATTTTAGTGCGGTTGGTTTTCTGGACATTCAAGATCAAAAGGGTTTATTTGCTGGTTTATGAATTAGTTTCTTGTTGCTGCTATGCTCTGACCAAACTAATTGCAACCCCATCATTTGGTTGTTGGTTGGTGTTCTGGGTAGATTTTAATCTTCTTAATTATTTGGGAACTGGGGAGTGCTTGAAATTCTTAGCAGGTGAGGTGAATGTTATGCGAACCAAGAGATTTCAGGTTTTTACCTATTGGGTAATGCCAAATTCTGTGATAAATAAAAGTGTGAACTTGTTGGAGTCGGTAGTTTGGTAGACAAAGGGAGTGTGTTGGTTTGCCTAGAAGGATTTCAATTTTTTTATGTTACTAAGTTTAACTGGATGGAGCTGAAGTATGGTGGCAAGGGCAAGGGAGTGATCATCATGAATTTCTTGAGGACTTCTCTAGGTTTTGGTTCGCCTTTCCTTTGCAGAATGACATACTAGATTTCATTGATAATCTAAATATTTTGGCTCAAATGTTTTACTATTCCTTGGATCTTGAATGAAATGCTCTGCATAAGCTAACTTATTATTTTGGCTAAGTACTAGTTTACTAATTGCCCTTCGCATGCTTTGGTTTCTGCCGTACAGTGACATTCACATCGTTGCCTGCTTGGATTTTGGAAGTATGCATTCTTCCTGTAGAGTAGGAACTTATTGATGAGAATGATTTGTTAATGTCTGATGTTACACACATAAATGTCTCATGGTTGAGTTCCATTTTATAATTGCTGATCAAACTGCTAGGTAGTTGAGGAACCAGTATGCAGGAATATCAGATTTAGTTTTTGCACGACGTGATTGATTATATAGTATTATGCATGAAAGCTTTCCTATTTCTGTCTGAAGCGTATTGTGTGATAATACCATGTTATGTAACAGAGAGAAATTGTAATTTAGAATGCGTTTGCTCATGCGTTTACACGTACTGGAGCACGTATTGAATTATAGTTATCCTGAATTTGAGTGGAGATGAGCCATTTGATGCTAACTTTGACATGATACTTCTCAGGAAATCAATGCCATGCCAATTTTGGTGGATAAAATCTTCATCTTTACATGCAAGTAATTTCATAGTACAAAACAGAGGTGAGAATAAGCTGTCTATACTAATAAGATTTTGGAATGTTGTATGTTTATTTTATCAAGTATGAAAGCATTGATATTTGATTTAAGAAATTGTCGAGCTTCTTATATGAAGTTTAGGTCCATGATTCACATGAGGAAGCGAGTTGGATTACTTTGCCAATTATTAATTTTTAAATTAGTTTATGACTATGTAGAGGACTTACCTCAACAATCTCAACAATTTGATGCTATTTTTGTTTTACAAGAACACAATTTTATTGAAAAAAATGATTACAGATCAGAGGATATTATGTCCACTGAAAACAGAGATGAAAATATTACATGCACTGAAACTTATTTTGAAAAACAGCAACCCTCAAATCTGGAAAAATTGTAAAGAAAGGTATACCCTGAGATTCTGTAGAGACTGAAGCCCATAATGATCCCCAAAAATGAACTCTATTTCACAAATTCTCCACCTCTTCACCCCTACAGCTGTCAAAGTTCGCTTTTCTTTCCAACCAAATCACCCAAAACACAGCCAAAGATCAGGTCTATTAATTGGCTTTATATTCTGATGATTCCCTAGGGAATATTTTGCATTCTTTTATATTTCACACATATTGTGATTATTTTTGTTACAGGAAAATGTGAGGTCAGTTCTCAAAGGGCAGGAAATAAGTTAGGTTCCACTGTGTATATAAATGTTGCAGATGATTCGAATGACAAACTCCCTGGTACAGATCAGATTAATATTTCTCAGGTGAGCATTTGATGTAAGCTTTCTTCTTATTCTTCTTTTTATTTATTTTTATTTATATTTATGACAATAGCATTAGATGTATGAATCTGCTTAAAGAAAATTGTCATTATTTTTTGTTGCATGGGATCTTTGGTTTAATCTTCATAGCTATAAGCACAAGAATAAAGTTCCTTTATGTTTGGGAAATCTCTCTTTACCATAATGAGAACATGCCTATGTAAGAAAGGGATGTTACAATGGCACACAATACTTACAAATTGATAACTACAAGTTAAGGAGCAATGATACTTGATATTTGCAAAGCTCTTTTCACTGCTCTTAATAATTTATGTGTTCTGGCTGGCCCTTGCATTGTTCTCTACTTCAACAATGACAGTACCAAAAAAGGCTAAATTTTGAGCACAAATCATTACAAGGCTTGATAATATTTCAGAAAAACCATGCCATAGCAGTGACAACCTACTCTACCTTTTCTTCTTCTTGTAAAAGATGGCTAAAATGTCTGTATTCTGTTTTTTCTGGAATTTACTCTTCAAGCTATACATACGAATTAAGCTTTTTTATTTACTAAATTATTCCTCATTTGCCCATGCAAGGTAAGACTCTTAGATTTGTGAGAAAATGCATATTGAAGTCTATCATTCACCAGTTATACTTTCTTCCAAACCTCTTTGTATCACCCGTGTTTAGTCTTCTGTCAAGTTGACAACTTCTAAACAAAGCTTGTCCCCAGAATATATTTTGTTTGATTGCTCTCATAGCTGAATAAAAGCTTACACCACTTTCCATGTTCCTCTATTTAGTGAATTCACTTGTTTACTCTCTGTTACAAAGTATCTGTATCCATGATAACTTGTACAAACTCATTCTAATCTGAATCTTTTTAATCTGGTAGAACCTTCTGGCTTCAGATTTTTCACTTGATTAATGCCATGGTGCTGTTGGTATTTAGTAAATTTCTTGATGGAATTTGCTGTATGTGCAGGTTCACCTTGCTAAAGTCGTGATGGGATTGGTGTCCTTATATTTGTCAATTAGACTGGCAAAGTCAAATGTTTTTAACATTTTCATTAAAATTGTCCAAGAGAAACTTCCCAGTGTTGTTCAAAATTTTGGGGCTGCCAACTTGCCTTTTGCCTGCGTTTCTAATTCTTTGAATAAACCCATGCCTCTTGGGTTGGATGTGTCTTTGCCTTCATTTCAAGATATTAGGTGGAGCTTTGCCCGGTTATTGTATCTATTTAACATCCAACTTGAGAAAAATGTTGCCACGTAAGTGAATTATATAATTGTTTTTGCCCTTGTTCATAACCCTTCACCTTGTAATCATCTGGTTATTTTGCTGTTGAATTGTTAAGTTCATGTTTTGGTTTCTTTTTTAAGATTTTGTGGCATCAGATGTTAAGATATCAACCTGGGATTATTTCATCAACATGAGTGGACAATAGGGTAACTGAACTACTTTATTATTGCCTTCTTGTTTGAAATAAAGATGCAATGGCATAGATTTCAAGCATTTTGTTCAGTAAGTTACCAGAATAGGCAAGTATCCCAGTGAACTACGATTAGGGTCACTCGATCCAAAAGGTTCACTTTTATTCAAGCTAGTTTTGGAAAAAATGAAAGTGATATTAAAAACTTATGTAGAATAGATTATGATATTTTGATCCAGAAATTTCCTTCCATTTCATCCTGTCCCATAAAACATAGTTTAAAAGGTTTGCATCATATTCTTTTCCACACTATAAATTTAATCTGTTGAATTTTATTAGTTGCTCAACTCTATTGATTGTGCACTTATCTGTTTTGGTACTATTTAAAACTTGGCAGATTGGGAAGAAATTGGAATTTTGTAGAATCATGTAGGATTAGAAGGCCACGAATGATGCCCTCAGGGTGTACACACAATAATAATGATAAATGTTTTATCTTTTTTCGCTAATTCTTACTTAGGTTAGGTTTACATAATAGTGCGTTCTTTGACACTAAATGGTCAAAAGCATTCTGTGCTTGGGCTTATATAATCATGCAGAAGCTCCATAAAAGATGTATATTATTCAACGTGGATCTGTGTATGCTTCTGTGACAATCTAAAGTTTAATGATAAAATCAGCCTTCTGGTTAATTTCAGTTGTGAATGGTCAACATTGTTCCTCTGACTGTTCAAAAGTATTTTTTCTAATTCATCATTTCGTGCATGTAATTTATTTGGCCTTTATGTTCTCATTTGACTGAATTCTTTTGTAAATGTTTTCTAGGTTCTTTCTAGTGCTCCTGGTAGCATGCTTCTCATTTGTTATCATTGGTGGTTTCCTGTTCTTCAAGTTCAGGTAACCTATATTCCTTTCTAACAGCAATTCTAATTACTTTCACATGGTAATGGCATTGTCTGCTTCATGTCGGTTTATGGTATTTCATTATTTAGCCAAATTTCTTTTCTTCTAGCATCTAGAATATTAGATTGCTATACTTTGTTTTCCCATCAATCCATCTATCTCTTGAGCAACTTTGTTTGGTTGACAATCCATTTCGGTACTAGTCTTCTCAAGTGAATTTATTATTTCTGCATTTAATTCTCATGCTTGTTTGCAATCTGAATGCATTTCAAATTACACAGGGGTAGTAACGAGTCTTTGGAGGACTGCTTCTGGGAGGCTTGGGCATGTCTGTGTTCATCATCGACACATCTAAAAGTGTGATGGCGTTTTCTGATTTTCTGATTTGGTTCATTTGTCATAATTTTCACTTTTTTTCGTATTTGGTTATATGATTGTAAATACCATGTACTCTGCAGCAAAGAACACGCGTTGAACGTGTTATTGGTTTCATTCTTGCAATATGGGGCATATTATTTTACACTCGCTTATTGAGCACAATGACTGAACAGTTCAGGGTAAGTTCTTGAATCAATACACATTATCGTACATCTAACATTATGTAGATTTCATCCTTATGACCATCATTTGCACAGAATAATATGTACAGGCTCAGAGAAGGCGCACAAATGCAAGTTCTGGAGAGTGATCATATCATTATTTGTGGAGTGAACAGTCATCTTTCTTTCATACTAAAGCAACTAAACAAGTATCATGAATTTGCCGTCCGCTTAGGTACTGCTACAGCTAGGTAATCTAATTCTGTACTGCCAACAGAGGTTCTTATACCAGGATTGCATGGCTAAATTACTGGCTTGTGTATATGTTCACAGGAGGCAGAGAATTCTTCTTATGTCGGATCTCCCAAGAAAGCAGATGGACAAGCTAGCTGACAATTTAGCCAAAGATCTTATTCATATTGATATCCTTACAAAGAGGTACGACTACTTAGAAATCATATAACTAAAGTCCTGTAATCTTGTAAAATTCATCTCTATCTAATGTTGCAATAAAAAGTTGTCAAAGTATTGGTATGATGGGCTTTGTGTTCTGATTCTTACATTGAGGTTGTACTGTTACAGTTGCAGCCTTAGTTTAACAAAATCATTTGAAAGAGCCGCTGCCAACAAGGCGCGTGCCATAATTATACTGCCAACGAAGGGAGATCGGTGAGAACTTGATCAACATTTACTTCTATCTGAAAAGTCATCTTAGAGTATACAAGGTTTTTGTCAAAGTTTATTTGGAATTGTATATCATTCCATTGGCAGTTATGAGCTATATTGAAAATGCCATTGAATTTTTTACCACATTGAAAATTTCCACTCTCTTGAACTTGTTTGACTTGACATCTTCCACTGTTTAGGTATGAAGTTGACACCGATGCTTTTTTATCTGTTCTGGCTCTTCAACCCATCCCCAATATGGAATCTGTCCCCACAATTGTTGAGGTATATCACTAATCAATCTTTGCACTGAACTACATTGTGAAGTTTGCTAAAATCATGCTACATTTGCCCTCCCCAATGAATGCAGGTCTCAAGTTCTAATACATGTGAGCTCTTGAAGTCAATCTCAGGGTTAAAAGTAGAGCCTGTAGAAAATGGTGCATCCAAATTATTTGTTCAATGCTCTCGTCAAAAGGGACTGATAAAGATCTACAGGCACTTGCTTAATTATCGAAGTATGGTACAAGTCTCTCTACAAGGAGAAACTAGTTTTTTCATTAAGACATTTACTACATTCTATTTTTTATTCCTCAATTTTACATTTCCAAAACTTTGAATTGTTATTCAAGAGGATAAAGAATAATAGACATTCTCGAATGCTATGGTCAAGGTAATTTAGAATGGCCATTCCAAATTCATGTGTTGGTTTGGTTCAGATTACCGAATGCAATTAGCAGTAGGTCCTTTACCATTGGTTACATAAGCAATATATATTTTAAGATTTTGGATATGGGAGAGTTCCAATAAAACTACTCTTTAAGTTTTATTTGAACTAAATATTGGTGGAACCATTAATGATATGTTTAATAAAACATTTGGTGCTTTATTCAGTAAACTTTTTTGATATATTTTAGGACTTTTTTGACATATTGAGAATGGGGAGATTCTTATAACCATTTTTGAAATATTTTCTTTATCATTCCCTATTGAATTTACAGAACATTATGGATATGAAGATCCAGCTTGTGCATAACCTTTTAACTCATTTTCGTCTTAAAATCTAACCATGAGAGAGAGAGAGAGAGAGAGAGAGAGAGAGAGATTGTGGTGTTGTGTAATTCTCAACCTCTTGTTATTCCATGTGGCACTAAGTTATCTTCTGCCTGTGATGCTTTGGTATGCTTGTTTTTATATATGTTTGATGTTATTTTCCCATTAGAGGGAGAGTGAAAATTATTTAAGTAAAAGGACAAAGATTAACAATCAACATTCGCAAAATTACAGATGAAATGCCTTAGTTTTTGTTGATAATTTATCCCATAATATATTTACTTCTGTGGATAATTCCATACCTTTAGACCCTAATATCTTTATAAACATGAATTGAAATGTTTGGTTTGAACCGATGCACTAGAACTTTGATCTATCAACTCAGACATGGATGCGTGTAGTTGTTCTTATTTGTGGTGGCAATTTTTACATTAGGTTGGTTTTATTGTTAGGTAATTGGAACCATCTCCCTGTTCAGCTCTGAGATGGCACACTAATTAATATCATTTCTACTCATTGCAGAAAATGTATTTAATCTTTGCAGTTTTCCAAGTCTAGCAGGGCTTAAGTATAGGAGAGTACGGCATGGGTTTCAAAAGGTATTACCTGCCTAATGTAATTCTGCTAGTGTAAAATTGATTGCAGTTGGCTGATTTTTATTCTTCCTCTGACTGGATATCCCTTCAGGCAGTTGTTTGTGGGCTTTATAGGAACGGGAAGATAGACTTCCACCCTTATGACGATGAAATCTTGCAGGAAACTGACAAAGTATGAGAAGTTCTCGACTTAATTTAAACCAATAGCTCTGAAATTTCTTATGACTTGTGAAAATTTGAATCATGAAGTCAGTTAAAGTTTCTTTTTGTTAATATCTCTAGAAACTGATGGTTAACTAGATTTTTAACTTTCACCAGTTCCTATTTTATTTATCATGACTGGACAGTTAGACAAAACTACTATTAATTTAATCGTTACAAAAATAGAAGAAAGAACTAAGAGGATCATGGAAGCCTTACTGGATTCACTGTGTGACTGGTTCATTTGTTTTGGTATTTTCATTATGCTGTTTGCTGGCTGACTGGGTTGTGGTTAACCATCATTTTCAGCTATCTGTTTATGAAATGTTCTGCATTGATGAAACTGTTAAATTCCTCCCGTAGTTTTATTTGTGAATTCTCAACTTTGTGCACTTTCCTCATGTAGGTATTGTTCGTTGCACCTGTTAATGGGACTAAGAAACCACATGTTGCTTATTCAAATGTTGTGAGAGAAATAGGTAATGCTAATGAAAATTTGGAAGATCAAGAAAAGAATGGTAGTACCCAATCGCATGCTTTACAATTGAAAACACGACTGGAAAACATTGTAAGGCGTCCCAATAAACCAGGTTCCAAGGTGCGACTTTACTACGACTTAATTGCTTGAAGGCCACCAGGGCTTGAAAGATTTGGTTTCGAAATCTGATTTCTCTTATAATGCAGGGCTCAGACTGGACCTTAGGACCAAAAGAATTTATACTTCTGCTTGGATGGCGCACCGACATCATAGAAATGATTGAAGAATATGACAATTATCTTGGACCTGGCAGTGTCGTGGTATGCTCTTATCTCTTGGGAATCTTGTTGTGAGTCCTATATGCATTGAGTAAGCATTCAGCAACTCTTGCCTTGAACTGTAAAAACTTAGCACAGCTACTTGCTACTTACTCAAGTACATGCATGATGAAGGCTTTCAAATTGTAAATGAATCAATGGGGAAGGGATTTAGGAACTTAATGGATTCTGGGAAATTTTCTCCACCTTGAGGAAAGCATGACAGAGACTAAGATGCATGACAGAGACTAAGAGGCATGTAGCCTAATTGGAGTACTTTTGAGATGTGTCCCTATATTTTTTGCTATTACGTTTTTCAGCATGTAGCCTAAGATGCATTTCCTCATCAACTGGTTTACAATCGGGGTTGTTGTTCTATATATAATTGTATATGGATGTTAAATCTGATGCCTTCATGAGCTGTCATTGTTATAAATTCTGACACTTGATGAAAGATAATTTTCATTGGTCACTTAGCTAAGTTTCTAGACATAACATCACTCTTAATTTATCATCTTTATGCATGCAGGAAATTTTATCGGATGTACCATTAGATGACAGAAATAGGGCAAGACAAGTTTCTGGTCAAGGCAAACTCAAAAACGTCAAGGTTTCTCATAGGGTACTACCTCACTCTTTCAACCTAGAGAGTTGAACCTTCTCTGCCGTTATCTTTGTTGTTTTATAATTAGTTTTTGTTGAAGTCTCCTTTTCCCCTTCTAAAACTTCATTTATTTATTTCCATATGCTGCAGATTGGGAATCCAATGAACTTTGACACCTTACAAGAAACCATAATGAATATCCAGAAGTCATTGAAGAACAAAGATATTCCCTTGTCCATCGTTGTAATATCTGATAGAGAATGGCTTCTTGGAGGTGAACATACATGAATTCCCCCTTTTTTCTTGGTTTTGTGTTGTTTCAATTAGCCTGAGGTTGCATTGCATTAAAGTATTCTCCCCTCAGATCCAACCAGGGCAGACAAGCAATCTGCATATTCTCTTCTTCTTGCTGAGAATATTTGCAACAAACTTCATGTAAAGGTAGGTCTAGTTCAGTTAAACATCAGTACCAGTCTTCATTTTCAATTTGTGAAATTCAGACTCTGAGTTTAGTTAATTAAATAGCTTTCACAATAACTAAGGCATAATCTTCACTAGAGAAAGTAAAGTAACAAGGTTGTGGCGTTGCAGGTACAGAATTTAGTTGCCGAGATCGTGGACTCAAAATTGGGCAAACAAGTATACTTCAGCAGACTTTTGTTGATGTTTATGATTTCTACGGATATTTTTTCACATTAGTGTTACTTTTGAAATATTATACGCCAAAAATTTCTGCAGATCACAAGAATTAAGCCGTCCCTGACTTACATTGCTGCAGAGGAAGTAATGAGCCTCGTAACAGCTCAAGGTCTTGAATCATTGTACTACACTTAGCTCTCATAACATATATACCAGTCGTATTCCATAATAACAAGTGATCGTTTGTTTGTGCATACTAGTTGCTGAGAACAGTGAACTAAATGAGGTGTGGAAAGACATTCTAAATGCAGAGGGTGATGAAATATATGTAAAGGTAAGTGCTTTTAATACTCAATTTTAATAGATTTTTCCAAGAAAAATAAAAGAAAAGGAATGAAGTATTAGGAGGGCTTGGTCACATTCGGAATGAGAGACATACTGATTTGGTTACATCCCGATTGGATGTCGTTTTTTTTTCTTTTCCTGCCAGAAGATCCTGATTTAATATCCATCACAGCCTTGTATTTTATACTTTGCATGTGTTTGTTCTGACAGGATATAAGCCTCTATATTAAAGAGGGAGAGAATCCTTCATTCTTTGAGCTTGCCGAAAGAGCGCAATTACGGAAAGAAGTTGCAATAGGTTATGTGAAAGACAACAAGAAGGTAAAAACATCTTGATTTGGATTTGACTCTGAAATTGCTTTAGACTTCTCATACACGTCTTATGTGATGTTGCAGGTTATTAATCCAGATCCCAAGTCAGAACCCCTCTCCCTTGAGTTGACAGATTCATTAATAGTTATATCTGAACTTGAAGGAGAACAACCCATCCTTGTGTAGAAAGTACATTTGGTCTTCACTTTGTTGCCTGTCCCCATTGTTTTCATTGGTGCTATGTTTATATGATTTCAAGCTGAAACTATCACCCAAACTTTCCTTTTAAAAATCTAAATCCCTTCTTAAATAGAAGCACTCATTTCTTTTGACATTGTAAGTGTTCTCTGAGCTTGTACCATAGAAATGGCATTAAAACTGAAAGAGAATTGGAATAAAAGAAATCTTGAGGTTATGCCATAAACTACACCATTTTCAATAAACCATGAGCTATTAAGGGAGTTGGAAGAATCAGCAGACTAGCTCAATCCTCAATAGAAGAGTTAGATATTTCATGCCAATGTCTCAATTCTTTTCGTCTATACACCTAACAGGGAGCCTGTAATGAGGGGTTACAATGAGCATGACCTTTCATAAGGGAGCAATTGCTCTAAACCACTACACTAGCGCCCACCATACTATCTTGATTATACCGCAACAACCTAAAAAGAATGACACAAATTGTGAGGCCCCTACACATTGACTCATCCCCTAACCCGTGAATTCCCCTATGTGATCGAAGATGGTGTTGGATATGGAGATGGCAATGGCCTATGGTGCATCTCTCTCGCATCCTTTAGTGAGTTCTCTGCTTATATGTACATGGAAACCGAGAGTAGAAAATAAATTTCACCACTAAGCAACCTGAGACCACAGTCTGTAAGTCAATGCCCTTTTTCATTGGGTTAGACCCCGAGTTATTAAGTTTGATACTAACTCAATCTTACAATAATTCATATTTAGTGGGTCTGTAACATATTCGTATTTTCTTTTCAAAATAAAAAAGAAGTTTATCATTTAAAATAAAAAAGAAGTTTATCATTTAGGCAGCTCGCTAATCGTATTGTAATTTTCGAAAGTGTAGGGTCAAAATAAAAAAATACCTTAAAAGCTTAGGGATGCCCGTAGAATTAATGGAGGTGATTTTTAAAATTTCTATTTTATTTCACACTAGCAAAATATGCCCGCGCGATGCTGCGGGTTTTAAAATTGCATGAAATGTGTATCAAGCGATGAAAATAGACAGGGAACATATCAACTACCCAATTGCCAAAACACTCAAAAGGATTTACCAACATGTTCAAATATTGTAATCATCTAAACATATCATTACAACAACAAATTAACACCAACCAATTGTCAATTGATGCCATTAGCTAATTCCTATGCTCTATTCCCAAAACTTAAAACAATTAATTGAAATTTCACCCTAGAAACTCACCCCTTGCTTAACAGAACTGAAAACACCAACCAAACCGCTCATTCCAAAACAACGAAAGACCACCTGCAAAATATCAAAAGAAAACATGGCTTTAAAAAAAAGAAGAAAAAAGAAGAAAAAACAGAAAAATCGGAGAAGAAATTAGCTTGAGTATTTTATGCATGCACAATCTTTTCATTAAACCAAAAAATTAGCTTGAGCAAAATCTGTACGGAAAGATACCACAGGGAAAATGTATGTAATTGAGTTTCTTAAGTCTCCATTCAATGCAAAAATCAGCAAAAATCTGCTTGGTAAATCAAACCCACATGAAGTCAGATTTTCAAATCCCACATATTTCCCAAACCAGTCTTCTTCAAGTTATCATAAAGTTCTAATTCATCAAAATTATCTATCAGCCTCAGCATGTAGAATGCAAGACAGCGGTCTGCTTATATACCAAAAAACAAATAGGCACACAAACACATATATTACAACTAAAATTATTACAGTTGTGGTTCATTAGGCACAAATAAATTGAGTTTAATTAATCAGCACCACAATAAATAAGTCAATAATCCGAAGCCACCATAATACCAGGTTCACATGATTCCTTAAATATTAAACCTAAAAATTGGTTAGAATATTACCTGGAGAAGTTTTATGTGCTGGTTCCACCTTCAGTTTTTGAAGCTGACCAGTAAAGAAAATATCGACCTCATTCAATGCAATGTGAGAACAAAAACTCAACAAAAGTACTTGCAGCACAGAGTGCTTCAAAATTTACCTGAACTGCAAGTTCAATAATAAAGAAGTCTTCTGCACCACCAACCAGAAAAGCATTTGGAAAAAGAGGAAATTGCCTTAAGAAGCTCCCGAGTTTTTCAACTGCATGAATCAACACATTGGCTCCTCAATCAATGTTATGGCTAGAATGATAGTTATCCACATCAAGTAAAAAGTTCCCAGCAAAAGTTTTTTTAAAAAAAGCATGAACTCCTGACCTACAGGGATTTTATTCAACCGTTTGGGCTCCAGAGCAACATCCTCAAGAAGATACTGAAATACAATGTCGGGTAAAACAACGCAAAAATGTAATGAATATTTCGTAAAGTTCTTCAACAAAAGCATATAAATGTCATCTTTATGAGGGCTCATACACGAAAGAGGGATTGAAATCGCCTTTTATTTGATTGAGTATCAATCCTGAAAATATGCAGAGAGTGCCACTAATAAGTTTGTTAAGCTAAATGGATAATAAATTATAAATTGTGTGCAAGCACAAATTAAACCTAGTAACTTTCTTTTCGGTTACAATTAAACCTAGTAACTTCGAAAAGGAAGAAAAAGAACAAATTTGATTATCCAAATATGCTATTTGTCATTATATATAGGAGCAGCCAGAAGACGAATGCTAGTTGAAAAACAACAATATAATATTTGACATATAATCATATTCTCTGTTTCATCAGTCATTCAAATCTTCCCTTTCAGAAAGCCAATTTTAAACAGAGTAAATAAAGTCTAAAAGGTTAATTTCCTTTACAATACCTTTACCAGTCAAAATCCGTCTAATTTTGTGCCGTAGCCGTAGTGGGGTGGGCTTGAATGCACATTAGCGTCACCTGCATGGAATGGATCAAAATCTTAACTTATTCTAATCCTAACCAATTTTTAACAAACACCTTCTCCGCTACTTGAGCTAATTCCAAGAGCATACACCGAAATTATTTTTGAGTAAAAGCAAAAACAACCTGGCAAAGGGTTTTAAGGTAAATCTGAAGTAAATCTAGATACGCGCAATCTCTTATTTATAAGTCACATGTATTAGATAAAACTAAATATTTGCAATCATTCATAAATTAAATGTATCAAGTAAATCTGAATAAACATGACTATGAGCAAACCATGCGTATATGGTAAATAAAAATTCATGAAATGAAGTGGAAAACTCATGTACCTGACGGATAACAGTGGCGGATATGCACATTGTGGATGATAACATTGCTTATGAACTGCAATGTGATGCAACCACCGCCCACAATGTGGACATTGGCTCCACGGCGATCAAGGGTCTTGTAGCTGTTGAAGATAAGCTCTTGGGAGAGCTTGATGAGCATGTTGCCAGGGAACACAATCCAGAGAGGCTCAGTCTGTATCACAGCATATCTCAGACTGTTTGGCCTTGGATTCACAGCATCATCATTAGAAGAGTCTGTGACAATATAATACTCACCACCTTTGCCTCCAAGAGCATATTGGCCAAACCCAATTGCACAATCTGCTAAGCTCTGCCTGTTGTTTGGCCAATTTGAGTCACATTCCCACCAGTCATCTATTGGGTTTCTGTTAGGCATGAAGAGTCCTGGTATTTTTGGGTTCCTTGCAGCATTTGCCTTCTTGCCAAAGAAGCATAAACCTTCCTGAAAAATAAAGGGAAAAAAGAAGTAAAGATTGATAACTCAGATCTACAAAAGGCTGTGAAAGAGAAGAAAACAGAGGAGGTAATTAAAGCTACGTATTTCCCTATGAACTTCTTGAACAACTTCTTCTGGGTTGGGATATTGGCCAAACCCAATTGCACAGAGGAGGTAATTAAAGCTATGTATTTACCTATGAATTTGCCTTCTTGAACAGAGGAGATAACTCAGATTCATTCCTATAATATATCTGTACATTGCATAAAACGTACTATGAAAAAAAAAATTGTTTTGGACAGAGACCTCAGAGTTAAAAGTAAAAAAGAGAGGAAAAACTTATCACCTTAGGGAGAACTGATTTTGGAAAATTGGAACCCCAATACAAAAGAAAGGTTAGCAATTTCGCAGACATGTGAGAGCCCAAAATTCATCAAAACGAAACACTAAAGCCAGGAGGAGCCTTTATTCAGCAAAGTGGAGGCTCCAATTTTGAAGGGAAAAAAAAAACAGAAAAAAAGAAAAGAAAACATACGTCTCCAATTTGACTGGTCATTTTGAGGGGGTGCCTCTGACGCAGCCTCCTTCACATCTGCTACCAAAGCCAAACATCAAATACAAAATACGATTCAAATGATCAAAACATAATTAGAAAAAAGCGAAATAAATTTGATAAAAGAGCGACGCTTTGGGGTCAAAGGTGGAGACCTTTGGCAACAAATTGGATTTCGCCAGGAGGAGAGTTGAGGAGGAACCACTTCCCCATCGCAAAACAACATTGACTACATTAGACACTGACAAATGATCAAAATGGGTACAAATTTATTAATTAGAAAAAATAAAATATACGGCTGAGAGAACAAACCTCATTAGTGGCAAGCACTTGGCCATTGCTCTTCTTGACCTCTTCAGCTTCCTCAGGAAATACTTAATCCAAACAAATCAATCAACAATATTAAGTTTAACCCAAAATTCCCCACTGTATATTTGGGATCACAAAAGCCGAGCTAAGGCCGCTAAGGATTATACCAGAACTTCGACTTGGCGCGAACCTCATTGGTGGCCCAGAGCTTCATTCGGTAAATCTTGGGGTGCTCATCAGATGCCATAGGGAGCTTCCTCCCAACAACCTGGTACTGGTGGAACTGCAACACAAAAAAGACACTGTTAATTGCAGCTTTACCATTTGACATGCCCTAAGAGAAATATATCACACAAAAACAAATACCAAATTAAATGGAACCTAAGAAACTGTGAAGATAATTTCTAGATATTTGTTTACCAAATTTCATACAACAATCCTCCACTTAAACCGACTGTTTACAACAATACTAAGAATTTGTATGCATATTACATATGCAATATTTGGCTAATCCATTTCACCAGTAGCCATATATTTAACTAAATAAACTATGTCTAAAACCAAATGGGTATTCTTCAAGAATAAAACCAACCTTCTTGAAGCATATCCATCTAAGTTATAATATGCAGCGGAAAAGAGAATAAAAAGAACCCCCTAGCATCCCAGTACCCTAACATGGAAAAAAATGCATAATTTAGAATTCTGTAACAGAAATTGTCTCATTAAATTAAACAGAAATAAAAAACAGTGAATTTAAGGTTGAGATGTAATCAACTTATTGAAAAAAAAAATTGAGGATGAGAAAACGATTGACAAACCTCTTTGCTAGTCCAAATGCGGAACCCTACTTCGTTTTTTCTTGTAGCACCTTCAAAGTCAGTCAACATTCTGTGTTGTCCTACAAAAGACATTTACGAACACAGAACGTCATAAAATACCTTTATTGTAAATTTCTTCAACACAAAAAATCCAGAACCAAAATATTTGACGAAATTCTATTAAAAGAAAAAAAAACTGAAATTAAATAGAGGGAGAGAGAACATTGTATACCGCAACTTCTGTACATATACACTGGCTCTGTCCCACAACAGTAGCAAGGGCAATGGCAAGCCTTTATTCAAGCACAAACAGTCAGCTGCAATAACCAATTCAAAAGCCTGTTCAATCCCATCACAGGGGAGAAATACAATCAAAATTAATAAAAGGAAAAGAAATTGAAATACAGTGGAGGTGATTAAAAGATTCAAACCTTGTTTCTATTTCAAAGTCCAGGAATAGATGTAATTGCACCATTTTGTTGTGGTCCTGCAGTGCACACAGTCATCAGCTTCACCCAAGCAACTCTGTGTGCCACTTCAAATCCACCATGAACCAATCCATAAGCTCAAACATAGAACCCAATCATATGATAAACCATCACACAAAAAGGCTTAATTTTGGTCCAAAAGGGCAATTCGAGGATATGGTTCTTACTTGAAATGCTTTGGTGAGGTTGCAAAATCACCTTTTTCCTCATGCTCAAACCCTTCAACAACCAAAAAACAATGAAAGGAAATTTTCATTGTAATTCCAAGCACATGCAAGAAAGTACAAAGGCACCAAATTTTCAATCCAACATAATTATAGAACAAAGACTCAAACTTTTGCCTTTATGTCCTTGAGTTTCCACAGAAACCCAAGTGATTTCAATAAAAAGTACTAATGTTATTAAGTGGGTGACCTCAAACGCTCTTATAAGCATAATTATTGAACTCCTACCTACAAAACAACAGTAAAATGTTTTAAAAGATGAAATTTTCTATTTTTTTCTTGCATTTTGTTAGCAAACAAACGGAGGGTAAGTAGGTTTCTACATATTTTATACAGTGTTAAATCCGATTTTTTGTTTGAATGATCTTATATCTTTACCTTCCAACTGAGAGATTGGTCGATCAGTTCAGAATATCAGCTCCCAATCATATTTCCTTTTAGATGCAAATATATATTAAGCTCCTAGGGTTCATTATCCACATGCTCAAATAGAGAGAGACAGAGAGATCTTGCCTGCTTAATAATTTTTTGGTTAAGGAATCATAATTCTGATCTTGTTTATAACATCTATTAGAATTATAATTCTGATCTGGAGTCATAAAAAATAAAAAATAAAAAATAAATAAAAAAGCAGGAGTGTATAACCACAGGCAAACAGAATATCAGCCACACAGACATCAATTACCAGATTGATGAGCAGACTGGGGGTTCTCATATTGATTACTCCAGTTCTTTTTCCTTAGATCTTCCTCCCTATAACAACAAACCAAACTCAATTTCTGATTTACTTCTCAATTTTCGACATGACAAATGAATAAACCAACCTAGAAAACCAAACGAACGTTAAAACGAACCTCTTTTTACGAAACCCAGAAATCCTTTGAGCTAAACCCGTGCGATGAGAAGAAGGATGAAGCAGCTGGAACGGCAACACACGAACGCATCATCTGAGAGGAAAACCGATGAGATAAAGACCAAAAGGGCGGCTGGATTTGCAGCGCGCCTCCCCAAACGAAAATCGACGGCTCCCCACGCATGCAGAACAGTGAACTCTGATCTTCCATGGCTGCCCCCAATCAGCCCAACCAACTGGTTCGAAACGGACTGGAAAGCTGAGAGCCAACGAAACCTTAGAATCGAAAGAGATCTGAATGGGAAGGGGCAAAAAGGGAACATAGGGAAGAATTAAGTAAAGGGCAAAACCGCCATTTTACTATTGCTAAGCTACACAGTAACTGAGTTTTAGTATGTATATAATTTACAAAAACTAAAAACTCAAAACCCAGTTGCTTCTTGAAGTTCGCTGTTTTTGCTGTCTGTGTCTTAGCGATTATTTTGGAGGCAAAGCCATGGCTCACGGTGGCTACGCCAAGCGGAGGGTGAGTCCGGCGGGAGGACGACGGCCCAAGTCGGCGTTGGGCCCAGAGAAGAAGCTCAAAACCGTCAACCTCAAAAAGCAGATTCGCTCCATCGAGCGCCTGCTCCGTAAGGTACTCTCTCTTTCTTCACAATCTACTCTTTCATCTCGTTCAGTTATGTGTTACTGCCCATTTCGATTCTGCTGCAGTTCTCGTTGATTCTTAGGGTTAGGGTTTGTATGGTTTTGGGGGCTTCAATTTTGTTGAGTTCTTTGCTACCCCTTTTGTGTATCAGTGATACACACAACAAGAGAGAAAGGTGCATAACTGAATTTCAAAGGAAATTGAAGCCCATAGAAATGCCCCAAATTGAACTTTATCTCGCAAACACTCCGCTCCCTTCCTCCTCCTATAATGGGTCTTCTGACCTAATACAGCTTGAATCAGTATTCAGTCGATTTCTTAAGATTATAATAGGAAACTTTGTGGTTTTAGCTATTGGTGAAGTCATAATCATTGTGAAATATGGCCTAACACGACGATTATTGTACCAAGAATCTATCAGCTGAAATGAAGGAAGCTCAGGAAAAGAAGTTAGAAGGACTCAAGAAACAGCAGGAGATTCAGTTTCGTCTCGCTGTGGAGCGCAAGATATTTATGCGCGACAGGAAGATTAAGTTTTTCGGTATGATTTACTGATTTATTTATTATGTATAGAGTTGATTTCTGGCATGATTTACGGCTTAATTGCATGGTGGAGTGTGATTTACTCAAATCATATAAGTAACACGGACTTTTTTCAGAGAGAAGAAAAATAGAGAGAAGAATAAGACGTTTGGAGAAACTCCAACGTGCTTCTTTGTCTGGTCAGGCACAAGATGCAGAGAGTTCTGTGCAACTTTCCAAATTGAAAGAAGATCTTGAATATGTTAGGGTAAGCTATATAGCGGTATATAGTGGTCCTTGGTCTATCTGGTTTTATGTGAATGCATGCTTGTGGAATTTGTAATTGAGAATTTGGTATGTTTTTCTGTCATGAGAATATCATAAGCTTTCATTGGAATTGAAATGTGAACTTCCACTTGACCTTGTGCCTTATGGTGAAGGGCTGAATGTATTTTACTTTACTTGGTACAGGCTTTGAATTGTTTCTTGAAATAACACATACTTGTTTCCAATAATGTCAAAGGGCTGATTTTTATTTTACTATCAGTTCTTTCCCAAGACCGAGAAGTATGTCCCTTTGTTTACTGGTGGTGAAGTTTCAGATATAGTTGATAAGAGAAATAAGTTGCGCGAGAAGATTAAGGCCAATTTAATTGCTGCAGCAGCTAGTGGAAAGGATGTTGAAGGTATTTCTTTTATGCTTTATTTACTTCCACCAGAAATATCTCTTATAGAGGTATTCTTCATAAGCAATAACCATCTGTTGTAATGCACAATACATCTTTTTTAGTTATCTAAATTTGTTTTGAGTCATTGTTTGAATAAAGAGGTGAAAGCCCAACTTGGTGCAGCCTTCGTTCAAAATTCAATAAAGGTATATACCACTTAAAAAATAATGTAGGATAAATACCTAGCGAACTGTCTAGTCTTCAGATGAAATTAATAGTAGAGGTAAAAATGACTGCAAGAAAAATGGATGTTAAACCTATCAAACAAAACATTATACCAAATTATTCTTTCCGCATTCCTGCCATGCTACCATTTTCTTTGTAAAATGTAGATGATGTTTATGTTTTCTCTGAGGGATGCTTTTCACCTCTCTTTTCATCTTGCAGTTGTCAATTATGAACATAATCTCAGGGTTGCAAATCATCAAACAATTTTGTTACACTCACAAGCATGCTGTATTTTCTTGGATTTCTTACAGAAACAGGGAGCGAGGACGATGGGCTTCTGGATCTGAGTGAAGATGATTTCTTCCTAAATGGGAGTTCAAGTGATGAAGCAGATGCAGACGATGAATGGACGGATAAGAGTACAAGGTATTTATCTAACTGTGAGTGATGTTATATTTGAGAATATTTTTTTTTCCTTTTTTGAAGGATCATTCATGAATTAGATGACAGTGCACTTCAATAATTATCACTTTTCTTAATATGAGCCCACTGTTTGTACTTTAGCCGGGGAAGCTAAAATTTTAAAAGAGCCTATTTGAATTAGTATGTAGACTGTTCTTTCATTTTTATGTGTGTATTAAAAATATGGTCTGTTCTGATGGAAGTTGCATCATAATTTTGTCATCTGTTTTTTCAGAGAACAGGCTTCCAGTGCTTCTGGAAAAGCAACTTCTGGCATGTCCAGTGATGAGAGAAATCAGGTTTCCATCTTTTAACTATTGCACTGTTGTGATTACACGTATTTGCTTATTGGTTGTTTATATTTCTATCTCCTCACCTGGATTTCTTAAATAGCGGCAGGTTTCTGCTAGAGCTTTGATGCCTCCTCCCCGGCCATCTAGCAATTCTCGCACAAGTTCAGTTCGTGCTCAGTCAAGGTTTGGTCCTTCATCAAGCAAAAATTCCTCAAAAAAGAGTGCTGAAATGTCTACATCCAGCAATACATCAAATAGCAGAAGTGGGACTTCCTTCAGTACATCAACTAACAGAAGTGCAACTTCCTTCAAAGCTAGGGGATCCTCAAATTCAACGGCTGCTCAAAGTAGTAATTTGAGCTCCAACTCTGATGCTCATAAACCCCGTAGAAAGAGGAGGCCAAAGAAGAAAAAGCAGCAGGTTGGAGTTACTTGTTAATGTTAGATATGTTGAACAGTTTGCTTTTCTTTTGATGAGATCTATAGTTTATTCTGTTGAAAATTTGTTATAATGCTTTAAAGTGTACCTACTGTTAATAATTCTCCTAATATAATAAGAAAAAGCATTGAAATTAGCCACTTATCTAGATAGTCATGGTTTGACCTAAGGCTACCTGATTTTTGCTTCTGTTTTTATTTTTCAAAAAAATATACATCCTTGTCATACTTTCAGCTACAGAGCTGCTTGACAAGAGCTAGATTGAGTATTTGCTCTTTATCCCACTCACTGGGGTATGGTTATTGGGTTTAGCATGCATAGATGGCACTTATTACCCACACTACATTTCTGTCTATGATGATTATATGCTATCATTGTACAATTACCCGGGGATTTGGGTTTCATCTTGCACAGAGGGTCAAAATTGGCCGGTTGGATAGTAAGTTTCCAAGTTCCTTTTTTCATGATTTGTGAAATTGATATGCCATATTGGTATAAGTGTTGCTTCAATTCATTTGTTAGTTTATGAGGTGGGTGCAAGGTCAAGACTCAACCCCAAAGGGTGTCAGTTGAGGTGATGGTCTGTCTAATAGGCAACTCCATTAATAGAGTGGATGGGCATTTTTTTGGCTTACTTAAAGAAGTTGGATGTATATCTCAGCCCGATTGATTTGAGCTAATTATTCAAGCTGGAGGTTAAGTAAAACTCAATGATGGACTGTTATTGTTTGTTTATTCTTGGGCCCTCTATTCTTCATCTACTTTTTTGTATACTTGATTCTTCATCTCCCTGTACTGTGCTAAGTGATTTCTTCTATTATAATATACCTTTCTCTTCCCCACTTTATTTTGGTGAGAACTCATTTCACTTCTACTGGTGTTTGTTGTACAATTGTAACATTTTTTCATAAACAACTACTTGTATATTTGCAGGGATGAGTCGAAGAAGCGTGGTGCTGATGCGAACTTGTTTTGATGATTTGATCACTTTGAGTTGTTTATGCGAAATTCTTACAGCTCAGTCTTGACGCTGAAGTGCGTAATTCCTTTTTCCATGGGTAAAATAGTTGGAAGCTTGTGCTTACTGCTCTCTGTAACAATTGGTCTTACTCCATGCCTAGTCACTCCGAGCTAGGCTTGATTTATCTCGAAAATGTCTCTCTGCTGTAATTTTACGAACTTCAGCCAGATCTAGTGACAATCCCTGGATGGCATAGACTTGTACTGATTGAGATCTTGGATTGTGCCCTAGTTTGTTTACATAGTTGTGTCTTTGCAAGGCAATTTGTTTGGATACAAAAATGAAAATATACTGAATTTCTTTCATAGGACCGTTTTGCCAAGTTCTTGCCTATGCCTAGGCAATGTTTTGTCATGCATTTCATTCATCTCCATCTTGTTTTTATGCTGCACACAACGATCATAATCAATTAAGTTTGGTAGGGATATAACCCAACAACCAACCACCCTTTTTCTTGTTTATAAAATGGAATTTGACCCTTTTTCTGATGGTTGAATTGTTTACTGTAATAAAATGATAATTTTACCCTTTTCTGAAGGGATGTTTGTATATATGTTTATTTAAATTTTTTAGTTACAAAAGAACTTACAAAGGATCAAGGGGACTAGATGAAATGTAAAAGGAGTTTAACTAAAAAATGTCTTGAAAAAACACCTGTAAGTTCCTTTATAAGATATGGAATATATTGTCATCTGCTTAGGATTTTGATTTATATTGTCACCTGTAAGTTCCTTTTCAAAATGTCTTGAAAAAACACCTGTAAGTTCCTTTAAAAGACCATATGTTTAGGATTTTGATTTATACTGCCTTTTACATTCCTTTATAAGATATGGAATATATTGTCATCTGCTTGTCTTGAAAAATACCTGTATTTAGTTTTTATATAAAAAATGTCTAAGAAAAAATAAGGAAAAATACGGGTATCTTCGCCTAATTTGTAATTGTACATGAAATTATATTTATTTATTTTCAAAAACAACATAATGTACATACTGATAAAATAAAAAAGACAACATTATAAGCAGCTTCAAGTAAAAATAATTAATTTATAAAACTTAAAGCTTCTGCATTTTGTGGCTGAATTTTTCATTATTTGTTAAACAAATATATCTAATTAGATAAGTATTGCTTGCCTGCCGCAAGCGCTCAGACAGAGTGCACCAAAAAGTTAGCCAAAAAGGAGAAAACAGACGTTAACAGAGTTAACGGAGTTAATTACTACTGCAACTCTTCCTTCTCCAACAGGCAACAACAAACAACGGTGAGTTCAGAAACTCATCGAGACAGAGTTACAGATAGAGAAGGGAGACAATGGCAGCTCTAAAACCTTCACTTCCAATGTTATCGTTCTTCTTGTTGCTCTCACTATATTCCAACACTTTCATCCACACAGCTCTGGCCGATGGCGTCACTCCGGAGGAAGCTAAACAGCTCAGGAACGAGGTAATCCCCATCCAGTTCTCGCAATTATCGTTTCCAATCATCCTCTAAAGTTGAGTCCGATTAGGGTTTGGGTTCAATTTGGCAGTGCCATTGGGTTTTATATAGTATTAACTTTATTTTGTGATTGAAAACGTTGCTGTGTTTGTACTGATTAAAGCAAATTGGGGCCCTTTGGTCTTCTAAACCCCATTTCAGAAAATCCCAAATTTTCAATTTTGCATAAGGCAGGGGATGTTTTCCCTTTTTCGAATTAATCTGTTGACTGTTAAGCATTTTAGTACAAGTGTAATGTAGTTCACTTACCCAGTTGCGAGAAGTTTTAGCTTATTAGTAACTTTGAGGGAAAATTTGGATTTGAGGTGGTTTGGAAGGTCAACCATGGTTCTGTGATAGTGTATTTTCTGGATCTTAGGTTAAAATCAGGACTTCTCATTTTTGAAAATTTTCAGATTTTATTGAATTTCTTATTATAGCCCTAAACTTTCTCTGCAGTTTTACGTATTGTTGAACACAATCTCTAACTTCATACTGTCTTGTATTCTATTTGAATCAACAACACAGTAGAAGCCTTTGGTTCTTGGTTTCTGTATTTGATAGTCTACATGTTCAGTGTAGGTTGTGATTCCTACTTTTGGTGTTCGCTATATGCTGCTTCAAAGTATATTTAGCGAATTCTTTCAGTTATATATTTTTTTCATTACTTGTAAAATTTGTAAATTTCACAAAATACTGCTTGTCAGGTATTGCAAGTTACAATGTGGTGTTATAACAATTCGGACATATATATAATATATATTTTCAAATGCAGGTTAGGGAAATGTTTTATCATGCATTTAATGGATATATGGAGCATGCTTTTCCACTTGATGAATTAAGGCCTCAGTCTTGTGGGGGTGAAGATTCGCTTGGTGGTTATGCCTTAACTTTGGTAATACAAATCACAAACTCTTTTAAGAAAAATTTTATACTGCAAGTATTTTTTTTTTTTTTTTTACTTTCTGTTTTAATGTTTGAAGTATGTGTTTTTGTTAAGCTCTTATGTGATGTTTCTGCCATGTCATTGTCACAGATTGACTCCTTGGATACACTAGCTTTACTTGGTGATCGAGACCGCTTTGCTGCCTCTGTTGAATGGATTGGTAAAAACCTTCAGTTTGATATTGTGAGTAGTGTTTTTCATTCCTTTTTTTTTTCTGTCTGAAGTGGTGTTTTAAACTCAAGATATTGCAAGTGGTGTTTTAGCTTATGTACACGGATTCATATTGAACTTCTTTAGCTTTTTTGCTTTTGTGGAAGATATCTTATTAGTTTACTTGACAACAGGGCTTTTAGTTTGATGAGCTGACTAGTTCAAATCATGGTCATCCAAAAAGTCTGGTTCTTAAGACTGTTTTACATGATTTGAAATGTGATGATCGTTATTCACATTCACATTGAACTTTTTTATTTTTAGGAATAAATGGGTAGACTTCCAAGTTTGTTTTTTGTTTTGTTTTGTTTTTGCTGTAGATATCTCACTATTTCACTCGACAATAGGGCTTTTAGTTTGATGAGCTTACTAGTTCCAATCAATGTTATCCAAAAAGTATGGTTCTTAAGACCGAAATAGGCTGTGTTACATGATTTGAAATGGGACAATTATTGTTGACATGTTACGTGTCATGTAATAATGTAGCATGAATTGCAGTGGCAGAATGTTCCCATTCTAATATGATGTATTGTCAATATTGATTGTCATTCAAAATCTCTTATTTATATATCAGTCTTGTCCTGCTTATGGAATTCTGTTTCCATAGGACCCTTATCTTATTGTTATCGTACATTCATTTGTTTTGCTACTATTGCAAAGGTTTGCAATTAAATATTTCCTTAGCAATAATAGATGAAATTGTCAATCTAACTTTCGAATATTTGCAAATGTTGCAGAATAAGACAGTATCTGTTTTTGAGACTACCATCCGTGTCCTTGGGGGTCTACTCTCCGCACATCTTATAGCAAGTGATTATGCTACGGTAGTAATTAGTTGCGTACCTCTATGTTTCAAACTTTCCCATCTTTAACAAATCCATGAATTACCTTTTAATGCCATAAGCAAACATTGTACTGTGCCTTTTTGTTTGAGCTAGCACATATTGTGTTGCAACTTGCCAAACTATGTGATATATATGCATACCAATATAAGCAGAAGTTGGGTGTAGAAAAATGAAAGCTACCTGGTCAGATTAAAGCTAATGAGTTATGAAAGGAATTGGTTATAAGCAAATCTTCCAGGCAGAAAAGAGTTGGAATTCTAACTACAAATAAGTTTTTGCTCATGTTTCACATTTTAGGAATCTAGGTGCATTGATATGGATTTAAAATATCAATTTCTTGGACACTATACCTTGGCACTCTCGATTATCTTTAACACTAGGTGAATGCTCTACTGCCTGCCCTATCATCATATATGGCATCCGTATAAGATCAGATATATTATTTTTGTTTGTTGATAGACTTATGACCTCACATTTGACCCTGGCTTAACTACGCTTCTGGGAAAAGAAAATACAAAAAGATTAGAAGGATAAAAAAGAAAAAAGAGGTGCCAACGGGTCCATGGCTCAGTGGTAAGAGCATTTGCCTGCAGATCAGTGGTCTCAGGTTCTAACCCCAATGGCACCACCCCCTCCCCCTTCCAAACTTTGACAAAAAAAGAAAAGAAAAAAAGAGGTTGTTTTAGTTTGTACAAAAGGATACATAGCAATATCATGTATGTTTCTTTCGCTATCAGAGTTTACTGGAAGCTATTTGGTTAAATATTTATGTCTGGTAGGAGTGCAGTGTTATAGGATATAGATATTTAAAGGTCATTGTTGAATTATTTGTACATCTTCTATTGCAGGGCATGAAAATTCCAACCTATAACAATGAGTTACTTAACTTAGCTGAGGATCTAGCCCGGAGATTGTTGCCTGCATTTGACACTCCTTCAGGTATGCCTACTAGATTATCCCTTTCATTTAGTATACACAACACTCTATGCAAGATGTTTCTGGCTGAACTTTCACTGTTTTGCATTCTTTGTCATTCCCAGTGTTTCAGAGGAAACTGGTGACATTTGTTGGTAGATACTGCAGGAATATGATTATGGATGTCTTTTGTTAACCTAGCCAAATAGTAATAGATAAGAACGTGTTTATGTTCGAAGAACACCATGGAGTGATGGAAAGGCTTAAAAGGGCATAAATCCATATGGTTGTTATTGGCTCTAGTTTATTCTATTTTAATGACTGAATACTGGATTTTTTGGAAACTTAACTTGATGGGAAGCTTATTGTAGCTAAACAAATCCTAAAAGCATTATGTAGAGATAGATCATGAATGAGAAACTTTTTGTTTCTAGTTGCTGAAGTGTAGGTATTTAAGTGCTGGCATTTCAAGTGTCCTTTTTAAGCTATCTTGTATAAGTATCCTTTATAAGTGGTCTTGCATTGCAGGAATTCCTTTCGGATCTGTCAATCTGATGCATGGAGTTGATGAACATGAAAGCAAGGCAAAGCTTCTGTGCATTTTCTCTTTTCTGTGCAAGTTTCTGTCTTATTCACTGTGTTTTTTACGCATATTGTAGGACAATTAATGAGTAGATCTGCTTTTTTTTTTTTTTTTTCCTCCGATGAGAAGTAAATTTTCTAGGTTCAGGATAAATTGTAAGTGAAGATGTAGAATCTTAACCACAACTGGTTATTTGTTAGTTTGGGCAAACATTTTGTGATTTCAAATTTACTTGATAGTCTAGATAACATCAACAGCCGGTGGTGGGACTTTGACTTTGGAGTTTGGAGTGCTCAGCCGATTGACAAAAGATCCCAGTAAGTAGTAGCT